ATTAATGAGTGGCGCTACATAAGCTACCGTTGCACATACATGTAATTTAAATGCCCGAAGGGTCGAGCTCCATATATGTTATTGCGTTTATCATCTCCCAAAGATAAGGAAGAAGAAAAGGGGGCGGGTTCAGGGGCCAAATTATATTTGAACTGACGTTTCGAAAAATTTCTCGCCTCCACCGCCAGAGTTTTGTGGTACTTGAGTCTGGTGGTCTTGAATTAGGCCGCTTTGTCGTCTGCCTCAAATTATATCAGTGTTGGACGTTTAAACTTTGCCCGTCCGTTGACGACCGTATTTAGTCTCCCGGAGGTTGGCTGCTGGTGGGCTGGCGTGACCCACGTCCCCTCTACAGTCAGCGTAGTGGTAGGCCAGTTAATATGCTTGCTGGCCTCCCCCACGTCACCCGGCGGAATAATCACCCGTCTCTGTTAGCTCGGACTGTTCGTTGCCTCGCGGTTGCGACAGTGAGACAGTATTTGGCGTTGGGCGCGTGACGTCCGACCTCCACCCCTATTTTCCGTGGGCGTTGGCTCTCGGTCTTAACACCAGAATGATCCCCAAATAACAAGTTTAGGAAGACTGATTGAACTCGAACAACTTTACTGCCCAAAAAGCTGTACAGTGGCACAGCGTACGATAGCCAGCCCTGCAGGTGCAAAAGTGGGAATGTGACAAGTGTAGGCTGTGCAATGAGTAATCAATCGGCTGTCGCCAATCAAATGAGGTAGGATTATCGATTAGCGACGAACGTAAACGAAGTGAGTTGACATCAAGCGTGCAAAAGGGCAGTAGCGCGCAGGGAGCAATGCTAAGCGCACGAAAGGCAGCATGAGTCAGCGCCGTTGCTCTGGGCGACGGATTCCTATACTTCGTACTCGTTTGCACTACTGGCTCAGGCCGACTTGATCCGAGCCTTCTGTGAAGCGCTTGGTAGGCAAGGTTCAAGTCGATAACTTTGTTAATTGTGCCAGTGGAGGGCCAACTTTCCAGCACTAGCCTGGTCATTTACTCATTGGCCCTGCTGATCACCCTCACTTTCTCAAAGGTCCAAGCGAACAGCAACGAATAATCAGTCCGCCGGGTGACTGGGGGAGGCTAGCAAGTATATTGACTCGCCTACAACTACGCTGACCGCAGAGAGGACGAAGGTCACGCCAGCCCACCCGCAGCCAACCTTCGGGAGACCAAATGTGGTCGGCGACGAACTGGCAGGTCAAAGTTCACACGTCCAACACCGATATAATTTGAGGCAGACGGCAAGGCGGGCTAATTCGAGAGTACCAGACGCAGCTACCACAAAACTCTGGCGATGGAGGCGAGACATTTTTCGAAACGTCAGTTCAAATATAATTTGGTCCGTGAACCCGCCGCCTTTTCTTTCTTTCTTACCTTTAGGAGATTATGAACGGGATACATGTAACTTATATAGTAACCCATCGCCGTAAGAACATAATATTCTCCGTACAGGAAGGGGGTTGCGCTATTCCATTTTATAGGACAGTAACCTCTTAATAAGTCAAAAACTTACTATAGGATGGTGACTTCTATGTCCTAGTGGATACTGACGGCGATGGCATGACAAAATCTCACGAAGATGTCTTGGTCCATTGTATGGCCCTGCACACGTGTTAAAGAAAGACAAACTCCGCTGAATTACAGGATGGCGAGTGCTGCACACAAAATGCATCAATTTGCGAAAGAGTACTACTCACTCGCAAAATAGCATTAAGTAGGTTTGCGATACTTTTTATCGCGCAGGCCTTTCGCAGGTCTTTTCAGTCACCACAGGGTGCCGGCTGATAAATGAACTTCTTTTTAACCGCTTACAAAAAGCAGATTCTTAAAAATTATATACTTAAATAATATGCATGTTTATGATTGATTTTGGCTGCCTGTATAAACCCTAATATATTTTATAGAACAAATGTGCAAAAATATTCTTTTCTTTTACTCGTTTGGTAGAAAGTTAAGCGTTCTTTGAATGTGATGCTTAAAAAGGGAATATTTAGGTTTAAAAAGCATGCAAACCGCCGAATCTTTTTAAAATGTACCGACTGCTACACATAACTCAAAGTTTTCAAACATTATGTCTAAGGGAAAAGCATTTTTCTCCTACGCCTTTAGAAAGAGCTTGCATGGTTCTCATAAATGTCTGCAAAAGATGTGGATCATGCTAGATACATAATAGGCAGCATTACTAAATTTACGGATATAGTGTATTATGAATGAACACATCAAAGTCTTAAAAAATCTCATAATTATAAATTTTTTTCAAATCGGAAGATTATCTTTCCTTATGTATAAAAGATAAAGAAGGCTAAATTTCCTACCAAACGAGTACAAGAAAGGAAATTTCAGTGCATTCATTTTATAAAATATATTTGAATTTAATAAATGTATTACCGGCAAACGTAAGAAATGCAAGATACGCGTAGTTCTGGCTCATTAGCCGTCGTCAGTCGCATTTACCCGACTCCAGTATAGCCACAGAAACTGCCGCTACACTCGAGTTTCGAACCCACGATTAGTGAGCTACAGGCGAACGTCCTATCCACTGAGTCAGCGGGTCGACGTCTTCCGGTCTTCAATCGGGTTGTAGATAAGTACATAGGTGTATTCAGATCTGGTCTAATATTCACCAACCCTGGCTGCTTCGTCTGGCGAGGTGTTGACTCTTTAACTTTTTTTCTCAAGGACAAAACAATTATGTAACTTACTAACTTTAAGTAACCAATGTATTACCGGCAAACGTAAGGAAACTCGAGTGTAGCGGCAGTTTCTGGGGCTATACTGGAGTCGGGTAACTGCAACTGACGATGGCTCATGAACCAGAAATACGCGTATCTCGCAGTCCTAACGTTTGCTAGTAATACATTAGTTACTTAAAGTAAGCGAGTAACATAATTGTTTCGTCCTTGAGAAAAAATTTTGAAGAGTCAATGCCTCGCCAGATGAAGCAGCCAGGGTTGGTGAATCCTGGACCAGATCGGAGTACACCTATGTACTAATATTTGAATTTATATAGGCAATCAAAATCCCTGTTAAAATGCATAGTATTTCAGTAGCCTTTTTACATCATTTGCTTTTTGTAAGCAAAAGCAAAGGGTAAAAGGGTCTCAAAGGGTCATTCGACAGTGGAACTCCTTGCCCGAGTCTATTGTGCATTCACCCACTGTGAACCGTCTTCAAGAGACGTTTGGATAATCATCTGTTAAAACCCAACAGCCCCCTGTATAACACAACAAACAAGCATACTACTCGTTTGATTTCAATAGCGTATTGATTTACACTAGAAGATCACAAGAGACTGTATGTACAGTGAACATTTGTACGCTGCCATTCCGCAAACGCCTCACCTTTTCAACAAATTCATATTTCCAAATTGTTTCTTTGAACTTTTGCACAACAAAAGGGATCTGTAACAAAGTTTGCATATTTCACAAAAATTTATGCATTCCTGTACCATTTCAATGAAGTTTTTAAGGGCTTCGGTCATTTACTCCAAATATACTGACTGATACTGACTGCAATTAGGAAAGCAACTATCCCGCAGCTCATAGAGGAAGCTGCGTCCGAACACGTTTCCGCCGAGCCTTTTGCCAGGATCTACTTAGAATGGAAATCCCTCACTTTTATCTGTTATTTCAGTTCGACGAATGTGTGATCGGCATTGTGGAATGCTCTCACAGACACCAGAGGCAAGCACAAAGATCCGACACTGATGCAGCACCAGTACCGCGGAAATTCCACTTCCTAAGCGTTAAGTGATGGTGGACAATTAAATTGGTTTGGTATCTCTATCGTCAGCAAGCTAGCAGCGCTTTTGTTCATAACACTATGCCGAATGAAATATCCCATACCCATCTGTGTGCTACCTGTGCTTTTATGTATGTTGGTCATATAGGCCGAAGACATGGGACACCTATTAACGAACATATATAAGCCATCTATCAAAGGGACCCCTTTTCATTCCTATTTGCGCATCCCCTGAGTGTGAACATCGTTTGATTTGATGTTGAACTGAAGTGATTGCTGTGGCCAACACCTAACAATTCCGAGAATTATTGGAGTCCTGACACTCAAGCATGATCAGCATTAATCGCCATCTCGATCGGTAGGTCTGCGGGTCGGACTCACTGACTTACGCCCATGATCTAACAACAACGGTCAATATATGGTGGACGATTTTGAATCTCATTGTGTCTCCAAATCCGCCCATCTCTCCTTAATTAATTAGCTTGTACGGGCGCAATGTGCTCCAATCGACCCGACGCTAAGATACTTTTTCCGTCGAGAAGCATCAGCCTTTACGCAGATCCGGTTTCGCACATTTGTGTTGAAAATAAGCTGTTGCCGAAATGTATATGCACATACAAACCTCCGGTGAAAACGCAGCGAGCCTGATACGCAAGGTTTGAATGCGGAAGTACGATGATCAATTTGCTCCTTGAAGGCTGTATACAAAAAAGGCCCGTTTCTGCTATTACCTCTGATAATGGATACACGACGGATTTCAAACGTCAAGCGACTAAGATTATTGTCCCAGCGATCACATTCGCTTCTTTTTCATTACTTCCCGGGCGTCGCATTTTGGCTTGTATTCGTAAACAACATGTCCTTCTATACTCAGCCTGTTCTACAGCTACAACTGCAGGAAACCTTTAGCTGCAATAATGACTCCTATACCGTTTATTTTTTTTCTAGATTCATTTAAAAGTTGAATAGCCTTTTAGTTTACAGTTGCATTAAGATGCATCGTCGAGAGTTGCAATTACTGACGATGACTTAAAGGAGAAGACAGATAGAACCATAATGGACATAAGCATGCCTTTATTTTCTATAAGAAAAAAACGATATGGTGCACTGCAGGTGGGATTGCGGATGTCAAGCGATATTCGTTCAAAAAATGGTTTTTAAAGATAAATGAACTACTGCTAAGAAACGGGCGCTTTTTCACGAGGGCAAGAGAGACTGCACTTAAATTCCCCGGGTCAAATCTAGTGAATTCCGGAATCCATCTGGTCACGGTGATCAGAATTCCTGCATTTCATCCATAGCCTCCATCCTAGCTCTTTACACTTCAGATGGACAAAAACTGGTAGTGCGCGCAGTGCCGGAATGTAGACGATGATTATGATCGGTAAGCAGAACGAACGCATGTCACCCAGAAATCTGCTGACCTTATATAATGGATTGTCGAGCTGAATCATGCACAAGCCCGCTGCGCATAGGCATTTGTAGCCTGTTTCAAATATGCCGCTTATCAAGAAATCGATGGAAAGTGGTACACAGCAGAGGGAAGCCGTCATCCATCCCTGCGGATGACACAGCGCCTTCATTTGTTCCTCCGTAGTGCCGGGAAGAGACAGAATGTTCCAACTGTCGTACAGCTCCTTGGGTGGAGTTTTGCGTACCCAGTTTATGATGTTATAGCAGGAGATACCCATTATGATGGGGCAAAGGCCAGCAGTTAAACCGAAGCGAAGGTAAGTTCCAACGTAGTAGGCCAGAAGTACCGCGTAGGGCAGGTCTGCGTCCAGACAATTACAATTTTTGCCATCCCAGTGCATGGCGAATGCTTGGGGGAGCAGACAGACAAGGCTAATAAAGCCAAAACCAATTGGGTAAGCGATATCGGCCACCACAGAGGTGGAGTACGAGTACTGGTATTTAAGGACAATCTGAATTGCTCTATTG